CCAGATAATGAAACTATGGAAGAGAAAGTGTGCAAGGAGAAACTGAAACAGATTTTTATACTATGAAAATAAAAACAAATAATGCTTATTATTGAATTTTTTTTTTTTCTTCTCAAACAAATTTTACCGGTTGAGCAAAATATCGGGAATTGTTTTTATTTAATCAAAATAAATTTAACAAATGAAATTTTTCGTTATAACAGAGAAAACGAATTTAGTTTCTTCGGTAACCCAGAAACGTATTGAGATGGATAAGCCCAGAAACGTATTGAGATGTACTTTATTGGGCCTATGTTAGGCCCATTTCTATATGACGACCCGAGTGAACTGAATTATGTTCATATAATTTTTTTTAGTATCGTGACATTCTAATAGGTAAAACCTTGGTAGAAAGTTAATGGTTTAAACAAAAAGTGAAAGAGACACAGAACTAACACCATTTTATCTAAACTTGTTAATTTTCTATAATTGGGTTAATTTTTAAACGTAGGAGAATGTCCAGTTTCTTCTCTTAATGTAAAAACAGTTAATAATAGGTCACCTACTACAAGACACAATTACTTTCGAATAATCTCATAAAAGTCATACACCAAAACTTTATTTTGCTTTACACTGACTTTTGCCAATAAAAGCAATGTTAGATCGATAGTTAAGATGAACTAATATTCAGATTAAAAGTTTAAAATTAAAAAATTAGAAGGACTTTCTGTTTAATAGATACTACATATATATACTGTTCCTTTGTTGGTAATTATCAATATATACTGTTGACAATAAATGTATTCGATTACATACAAAAAAGTCAACTTTAATACGAGCCCAGCAGACAAAAACACCATAAGTTAGGACAACGGCTCCATTAAAAAATGATATATGTTTTTTGTATGATGTCATCTCGATCGTTCACATTAAAAAAATATATATATATTATAATACTCATTTGTTACTGCAACAATATGCACATAGTATAGTTGAGAACAATGGTTTGAATCGATTGTTATATACTGTCCCAAATTTATTTAATGAAAATATCTAGAATCCTATAAACTATATTGCAAAAAAAAAAAAAAACTCAAATATAGAACCAAATATAATGGGTTTCTTAAGGAAAAGTGGAGAACCATAGTTCTTAAGTGTTTGATAATAGAGGGTTTAAAACTTTCAATGTAAATTTTTGAAAATGATCATTTTCAAGGACAAATAAGAGGAAATTAATTATTACAACTAACACTGTAGAAATATGAAATAGTATATATTCAGCAAATATTTGTGTATTGTGACATATATACTTCCCTCTTTTTGTGTTAGAAATAGTTTGTATTTGATAGTTTCTTAGAATAAATATTTTGATAGTTATATTACGATATGAAATTCAATATTTACTTTGTTTTGTATTTCTGTGAAACCATAAAAAAAATCACAAATTTTGTTTGCGGCTTCACGTGTCGTAAAGAGAACAAAGAGAAAGATAATCGTGTGTTGAAAATCGGACGATGACGGTGAAGATAGTTGAAAAATCTCAACTAACCACACATCCCATTCATCAATCTATATATTCTTGCTTACCAATTAGTATTTCTTGAGTTTATTTTTGTTTGTGTTCTTACACTTCTTTCTAATGTGTTTGAGCTCTTACATTCTTCTCCGTTTCATACAACAACTTTAGAAAACCAAACTGATCGATTTGATCGATGGTGAAGTTGACAAAGAGAATAGGAGGGCTTGTGCTGCGATTAGCTGCGTTTGGTGCGGCTCTCGCCGCTTTGATCGTTATGATCACAAGCCGCGAGAGAGCATCCTTCTTCGCTGTCTCTCTTGAGGCTAAATATACCGATATGGCTGCGTTTAAGTAAGTACAAATTTATTCTCGTCTTATTTTGCTTTTGTGTGTGTTAATTAGCCTAGTGTTAATTGAGTTACATACGTAAACGATAAATTACATTCGTCTTAGTTATGAGTTTATGTGAATTTATGTAGTGATTGGATAAAACATGTTTTTGTAGGTATTTTGTGATCGCAAACGCTGTAGTGAGTGTTTACAGCTTTCTAGTTTTGTTTCTTCCAGAAAAGAGTTTGCTGTGGAAGTTCGTCGTCGTCTTGGATTTGGTAAGAAAATTGATATTTATCTTAGTTCCCTGCATGCATTCATTCGCAAACTAGTTTCTAATGTGATGTTGTTACTAATATCTTATTAATCTGTGGATATTAGCAACTGGTTTTCGAGTTTTTATACTGAAACGCATTGCATATTAACAACATAATGTATTGCCCAAAAAAAATTAACGACATTATTATGTATTTGCAACAGAATTGGAATGAAACCAAAAATTTCTCGCCAAATTTTCACAACTATTTTGCACCCTTTAAAATAAATAGTGATTTTTTCGCTTTACTAAATTTTGATCCAGATAGTGTAACTAAAATATTGAAGATTACGATGATACTAATGTGATCCATATTGATTATTAGTTCAATTTGTGAAATGTCATTTTTAATTCAAGCGTAGTGATATAATTAAGTTTAATTTCTTGATTATATAATCTTAGATGTTGGTTTGTGTTTAGAAGAATAATTGTTAATACGCTCGAAGGTATACCTAATTAGTATTTGTGTCTAAGTAATACGCTTTCTTATCGTTTTGTTAGGTGAAAATTAGCTCAAAATGTAATATCTTTGTAATTGTTTATAATAAATTTTTTTTTGTCATTAACCGGTGATGAAGGTAATGACAATGTTGCTAACGTCAAGCTTATCGGCCGCACTAGCGGTGGCGCTAGTCGGGAAAAAAGGAAACGAAAACGCAGGTTGGCTTCCGATTTGCGGTCAAGTCCCAAAATTCTGCGATCAGGTCACCGGAGCTCTTATCGCCGGTTTCGTCGCACTCGTTCTCTATGTCTTGTTACTCTTATACTCTCTTCACTCCGTTGTCGACCCTTTTCTTCTCCAAAAAACTTGAGTCTAACTTTTCAAGATCAAATCGTTTTTTAAGTCTCTCATATACACACAAACTTTGCTCAATAGCGATATAAGACGTAGTGTGTTTATATATTTTATTTTTATGTGTCGATATTTTCATGGTTTTTTTCTATCATCTAATTTCTTTTCATGGGTTATAGAACACTAATTTACGCATTTAAAGTCGAAACGGATAACTGATATTCCTTAACAAAACTCATTCCTAATTCCAAGTTCGAGTGCAAGTGGAACGTGAATTCAACTCTATATTCCAATTTTGGTTGGGAAAAACAAATTCCCAAAAAGAAATAATCAGCTTAGTCAATAGTTTTATAACATAAATAAGCATTTTATATCGTTTGAAACTCGGTCTAAAACCATACAAACTTTTGAAACTCGATCGGGTTCAAACTGCACATATATACCTTCGAAACTCGGCTTGAAACATTTATCTAAACCGCTTTTAATTAAGTTTTAAACAAAATGTTTAACTTTAACGGTACAGAAATTTTAGGGCATATCTCAATAGTATGTGTGGTCTTAGAGCTTGTAAATATAGCAAGTTCTTAAATATAAAATTATTAAAACACACACTCTCTCTTCTTTTTACTCAATTTTATACTTTCTCTTTCATCCTTTTACTCAACTTTTATTAATTTTATATTTAAACACTCTCTCTTACTTTCAAAAACACTCTCCAAAAATTCTTAAATAAGAAACTCTCTCTTCCTTTTACTCAATTTTTATTAATTTTATATTTAAACACACCCACTATCTCCTCTCTTTACTCAAATTTTATCAATTTTATATTTCAATACACCCCACAAAAACACTCTCTTTATTATTTTTACTCAAATTTTAATAATTTTATATTTTAAAAACTCTTATATTTACTCTTATTACCCACCTATAATCATGCTCTTATAGACTCTTAGCTAAGTTAATTTACTAACTTGTGTAGCAAGTTAAAAGGTCAGACCCAAAAATAGGCCCGGAGAATGTAGGCATATTGTTTTTGGTGTATCCAAATTATATTGAGAAAATTTAAAAAATACCACTTTTCAAGTGCCACTTTACAAAAATGCCACACTTTTGTAATCTTTACAAAAATGCAATTTTTTCAAAATTATTTTTTCTTTATATTATTTATGTTTGAGTTAATTATGTTCTATTAATGTTTAGTTATGAGTATTTAGAGGGTTTTAGGGGTCAAAACATTTTTTAGGGTTTAGAATTTTAAGATATAGGTTTTATAAATCTATAATTAGTAACATTTTTGCAAATGGACACCTCTAAGTGGCATTGCAAATGTGAACACAAAAAATGGTATTTTTGTAATTGTCCCAATTATATTTTAGTAATGCAAACCGATCTTTGCTGAATGGACATTTTTCCCATCATCGGAAAATTAACGTTAATGTTGGCTTAAATAATTCGATAACTAGATTTTGAGTTTATTTGAATCAGTTTAAATCAGTTTATTTGAAGTGTCAAATTGAGTTTCATTATTCGTGCAAATAGTAGAGTATGCGATAAATTAAATAAATTTTAGATTTATATAAATTTATTGGACATAACAAACAAAAAATATATGTTTTCTAATAATAAATTATAAAAATATTTGTAAGTGTAGTTATCATCTACAAATAAATAATATTCTTACAAATTTAATAATAAAAAGCTTTTTTAATATATCAATTTAAAAAAAATAAATAGATAATATAGTAAGTCTAAATATTACATTTAGTTAAACTTAACTCTATAAAATATATATTAGGGATAATTGCAAAAATGCCACTTTTGATGTGTAAATTTGTAAGAATGCCAATTAGATTTGTCCATTTGCAAAAATACCACTAATTATGGATCTTTAAAACCTAAATCTGAAATTATAGACCCTAAAAAATGGTTTGACCTCTAAAATCCTCAAAACTAAACTCTAATACAATATAGTTAACATAAACATAAATGATATTATAATTTTTTTTTTAAAGTGGCATTTTTGCAAAAATTTTGAAAATGTGGCATTTTTAAAAAGTGACACTTGAAAAATGGCATTTTTAAAAAAAATTTATATATTAATTGGTTTATGTTATAAAATTAATAAAATATATAGAGTTTTCCACCATAGCATATAGTTTTAATTCAAATATTTTCATTAGTTAATTTAAATGACATATTCTTTAAAACTTTCATTGAATAATACATATGATTTTTTCACCAAATGTCTATTCAATTAATATATAGAGGATTAGTAGCATTTTAAAAAAAATTTCAAAATGATGACACTTTTGAAAAGTGGCATTTCTAAAAAATTATCTGCATTTAGTCTAAGTATCATGCAAATTAAATTTTGTTAGATAAAATATATTTATCAATATATTTATCTATACTGGAGATATATCTTTGTTATTTTTAATTTCTCTCGTATATAAAAAAATCATGAATTTTTTTTTGAATATTCTAATCCAGTATTTAACGCATGTCAAAAAATCTAATAGTCATTCAAAAAAAAAATATTCTCACATATATTTTATATTTATTAAATAAAAACTTTTATATTAATTACAACACATTCCTTTGCTTTCATGTATTTGTTTAATAGTATATATTGTATATGATATAAATTTAGTCTAGTTATTTACACAATAATATTATTAAGAAAATTTAATAGCTTTTCTTAAAAAATTTTTAAAATTCTCCTGTAAGATTTTCACGTAAGGTCTATTCTATTAATATATAAAGGATATATGATTTTTTTTTTTTAATGCTTGGGTGATGCACATGCGACCAATTGTTATGTCAGAACAAAAGGAAGATTCCATCTAAGCAAGTGAATCTAGTCATCCACTATTTAACACAAAAAATAGTTAAATTCGATTTGATCTATTATATCAAATGCGCTTCTGGGAGTATAATATAATGTAATGTATGGTTAAAAAATAGGCATGTGGGATTATAATCCATTAGACCAGTAAATGGTCTGTTGAATAAAAATATTCAACAGTTGAATCACTCCAATGGGCATGTTGAATTTTTTTGCAAAATGACGTGGTTAAATTTGTGTTGAAAAAATTCAAACACGTTGAAAAATAAATGACTGAGGTAATGTGTTATATTCTGAATGGGTCAATATTGTGCACGCGTGAGACACGCGCGGGTGTTCAAAAAAGTATTTTCCATGGACACTTGTCAAATTATAATTGGCTGTTAAATTAATATAAATTTTTATTTAAT